CTGCGCAAGGGGCCCGGAAGAACGATGCGCCCTGGCGAGAGGACGATCAGCAATGGAAGAAGCGGATGAGAAAGGAAGTCAAGTCAAGCGGCAAATCGCTCGGGGGACAAGGACGAGGATGATGAGGAGGAGGAGGATGAGGAGTTAGAGGAGTAGAGGAGGAGGAGGAGGAGGAGGAGGAGGAGGAGGAGGAGGAGGAGGAGGAGGGGGAGGAGGAGGAGGAGGAGGGGGATGTAGAGGAGGAGGGGGATGTAGAGAAGGAGGAGGGAGGAGGAGGAGGGGAGGAGGAGGAGGAGGAGGAGGAGGAGGAGGAGGAGGGGGTCCCCTCCATCACCTCTTGACTGCAGGCCCTGCTGCCCCGCGTGCTCACGCCGACACTCCTCAGGCCCCCTCCTCCCCCCACACATCGACGCGCCCAACGCGGTTTCTCTCCCCGCGCACGTCTTCTACTACGATGCCCAAGGGGACGCCCGCCTCAGGTGCATCAGCGGCGGCTTGCGCCGCCGCGCCCCCCCGCCGCTGCCTGAGTGGCCTGGCCTTGGTCTCCCTGCGTCCACCTTTCTCCGGGCTCCGCTGTATCTCTCTCTCTCTCTCTCTCTTTCTCTGTTTGTTTGTTATTCTCTCTCTCTCTCTCTTTCTCCCTCTCTCTATGTATAGATATATGTTGTCCCTCTCTCTCTCTCTCCTTCTCCATCTGTCTCTCTGTCTCTCTGTCTCTCTCTCTCTCTCTTTCTGCATCTCTCTCTCTCTATCTATATATGTATATCTCTCTTTCTCTCTTTCTCTCCCGCTCTGTGTATATTTGTTTGTTCCCCTCTCTCTATGTGTTTGTCCCTCTCTCTCTCTCCTTCTCCTTGTCCTTCTCTCTCCCCCTCCCGCTCTCTCGGACCCACCCGGCGCACGGGGCGCCCACGAGCGCCCACGTGGCGCCACGGGCCGGGAGCGTGCCGCGGCCTCGGAGGCCCCACCCGGCGCACGGGGCGCACACGAGGCGCCCACGAGGCGGCACCGTGGCGGCGCGCAGAGGGGGGGGGCAAGGGGGAGGGGGGAAGGCTTCTGGTCGGAGTCCCGAAACGGTGCGGGTGACAGACCGCGCGGTGACCTCGAACCCCCCCAGGGCCTCACCGCACGGTCCGTCCACGTGCGGCTTTGGGGGACCTCGGATGCCCCAGTCGCCCGAGGCGTCCTCGGAGAACGACCCGAGTCCCAAAACCGTGCGGTGGCCCCGAATCCCCACCGACTCACCACACGGTGTGGTCACCACCCCGTTTGGGGGCCCCCGGTTCTTAGGAGGCTGCTTCTTAGAAGGCGCCGACCCTACATCTACAGACAAGGCCCGCGCCTTCTAAGAAACAGCTTCTAAGAAGCCTTCCCCCTCCCCTGCCCCCCTCTGCGCGCCGCCAGGGCATGGGGGGCGGCCGCGTGGAGCATCCTCGGAGGACCCGTTCCATCACTCCACAAACACACGTAAGAACCCCCAAGCAAGTGCAAACACTGTTTTGGAGAGCGGTCTGAAACTCAAGACGTATGTTGGCGCCAACGCGTGTGTTGTCCATCCAAGGCACTCCAGTTCGGGTGTTGCCAGGAGTGCCCCTGGCCCAAGGTGCCCAAAGCTTTTCGCTCCATTGTGGAGCCCCTGGGGCCCTCATGGGCCCCAGGAGGGGGGCATGAGCTGGTTTCGCCGGCGCTGGTTTCGCCGACGGCCGGTTTCGCCGGCGGCTGGTTTCGCCGGCGCTGGTTTCGCCGGCGCTGGTTTCGCCCCGCTGGTTTCGCCCCGCTGGTTTCGCCGGCGGCTGGTTTCGCTGGCGCTAGTTTCGCCGACGCGAGCCCTAATAGGCGGGTCGGGTCGGGCGGGCGCTAGCGAGTGGGGCGGGTCAGGTCGGGCGGGCGGGACATTAAAGTGCGGGACGCACTCGACCGAACACGCGCGAACCCTAACGGGCGGGTCGGGTCGGGCGGGCGGACCCTCGGACCCAAACGGGCGGGTCGGGTCGGGCGGGCGGGACATTAAAGCGCGGGGCGCACTCGACCGAGCATGCGCGAACCTTAACGGGCGGGTCGGGCCGGGCGGGCGGACCCTAACGGGCGGGTCGGGTCGGGAGGGCGGACCATAACAGGCGAGTCGGGTCGGACGGGCGGGACATTAAAGTGTGGGTCGCGCTCAGCCGAGCACGCGCGAACCCTAACGGGCGGGTCGGGTCAGGCGGGCGGACCCTAGCACCCTAGCGGGCGGGTCGGGTCGGGCAGTTTCGCCGACGGCAGCTGGTTCCGCCGACAGTAGCTGGTTTCGCCGACGGCAGCTTGTTTCGCCGACGGAACTGGTTTAACTAGCCGGGCGAAATCAGCCGTCGGCGAAACCAGCGGTCGCCGTGAAGGGTGCTCCCGAGGCCGTGGGGGCCTCCTTCGAGATCCAGGGGATCCACCTTGGGCCAGGGGCACTTCTGGCAACACCTGGCCACTGCTTGTGCTGGAGCCACTAGCGGCAATGTGTGCTTATCCATCCTTAGACCTTTATTGCGACGCGCCACTGGCGCCAGCGTGTGCTAGCGCCACTGGCGCCAACGTGTGCCTGTCCACGCAAAGCCCTCCAGCACGACGCGGGCGACACGATGAGGGTCGACGCCGAAGTGCGCGTTTTTTGTTCAGCGCAAGTTGGGAGGAAGAAGAAAAAACGGACATCACCACGACATGGCACCTCCGTGAAACGACCTTGGGAGCACTGCTACAAAAACATATCGACATGGTGGCCCGGCAACCACCGCACACTTGGAACCACGAAGAGACCCAAACAACGGGAGGACAGGGAAGAACAGGAAGAAAGGACAGAAAACAGGGGAAGGCCGAGGGGCCAAGAAAACAACAAACAAGCTGTTTAGAGTACCCGGCCTGGGGCAGGCGGCGCAGAATCCGCCAGGCTTTCAACTCCGAGCTACGGAGGACAAAAAGGAGGAAGAGGAGGGTCACACATGCAGGCCGGCAAGTATTAGGCTGCGTGCCCGACTACCCCCGTCCGGCACAGAAACGACAGCCGCAATGGAGGGGGGGAAGGGGGAAGGCAACGTGCGCTGATAGTGAGGTCGGTTGAGCTGAACAAAACATGCACACAGGGTTGGGAACACGTCCGGGTTGTTTCCGTGGCCCTCCCCTGTCCTCCGCATCCTTTGCCTCCTCCCCCTTTTTCTTTCTCACCTTCCGCTTGCCTCGTCTTCGACCGCCTCCGCCCACGACTCTTCCTCCGCCCCCCCCGCCTTCGCCTCTCCGTTCCTCTTACGTTGGGCTCGCCTCGCATGCGCGCGAAGACCAGGCGCGTCGCTGCGCGCCACCCAGCCAATCGGGGATCTTCTGACCCGGGTCAATCCAGATCCGGGTCAGCCAAGACCTGCAAAATCCTGCAAGATCCTGCGCCTAAGCCCAGGTCAGCGCAAAGGATCCTGAAGCCTGCAGTATCCTGCGCCCAAACCCACGTCAATGCGACCCCGGCCCTGCAGGATCCTGCAAATCCGGCGTTCTGGCTGACCACCGTTTGCATTGACCCCCGTCTCTTGAACCCCGAGCCAAGAAAATGGCGCAAAGCCCGGTTGCTTGTCGGTTCCGTCGGGACGCGGGGCAGACTGCTGCGTCTCCGCGCGCAGCCGCGCCCGCCCCCCTCGCCGGCTTCGGGATCTGGACCTGCAACACCTCGGCGGCGACCGCCGCGGAGTGTGCACCTGCGCCTCGGTGGCCGCCAAGAAGGCCTCGTAAGGCCCCACATGCAAGATCGTGCCAGCGAGCGATCCTTCTGGGACTCTGTCTTCGACGCCAGCCCGATGACCTCCTGCGCCATTTGGGCGCGCCCGGGAGGAAGCGGCCTCGCCGACGCCGACGCTCGTCTGCCGCGCGTGCCAGGCGCGCGCGCATTGTGGGTCATTCGGCGCCCGCTGCAGCATCGCGATTGTGGCTTATCCAAGAATTGGCTCGGCAATGGCCCGCTGAGTTGCCGCCCCATGACCGATCGCTCCGCCCGCCCGGGCGTCTGTCGTCGAGCGCGTCTTTGGGGGGCGAACTCCGCTTCTCTGCTCGAGCCCAAAACTCTGATGAAGATCTGATGCGCGTCTGCACTGGAACTCCGTTTCAAGTCTGGCCCTCAGCGCCAACGCCGATATAAGTCTGACGGGAACTCCGACTGAACTCTGGCCCGAAGGCCCCAGTCTGATCTTGACCAGAAGCTCTAAAGTAAAAATGAGTATGCTCTGGTTTGGGCTCGCCGAAACCAGTGTCGCGGCGTCGGCCCAGAACGCTGCCGGGTCGGCCCCGTGCGCACGCGTCTTCGAGAACGCCAGAAGGAACGCGAAAGCCAAGCGGCAGGTCCTGGCTGGGGGCCCAGCCGCCAGCTGCCAAATACTGCGAGCTGGGGCGGGGCCGCCCGCGCGGCCCTGCCCGAAACTGCTCAACGACAGCTTGGGCGAAAAAAAGCTCGCCCGAGGCTCGCCCCTCAGGGCTGCCGGCTGCCGCGCCGCGACAGGATGCGCATCGCGGTGGCCGCCCCTTATCCCCGCCGCCCGCCCGGGACAGGTCGGGGGCGGGGCGCGCAGAGGAGAAGCGCTGCACTTTTCGCGGGGTTCGGGGGCGCGGGGGGCGCCCTGGGGCGCACCCAGCGCGAAGGCGGGGGCGAGGGGCAGGGGTTGTAACGATCGCGAGAGCAAAGGCGGAGGCGAGGGCAGGAACTGGGGCGGGGGCGGGGGCGATGGGCGAGAACGAGGGCGAGAATGAGGGCGGGAACGAGGGAGGGGATGAGGGCGATAACGAGGGCGGGCACGAGGGCGGGGACGGGGGCGAGAACATGGGCGAGAACGAGGGGGATAAAGAGGGCGGGAACGAGGGCGGGGCGAGGGCGAGGGCGAGAACGAGGACGAGGGCGGGAACAAGGGCGGCGACGAGGGCGGGAACAGGGGGGAAAACAAGGGCGGGGGCGACGGCGGGGGCGACGGCGGGAGCGAAGGCGAAAACGAGGGAGAGAACGA